TGGTAATCCAGACCTGACAGACGGCATTCTTCCAGGGCATAGACTAAGGTTGCCACTTGAAGAAAAGCGCGACCCACAGTGCTTATTATGGTCCTAGAGTACTGACTTAAATGTGAGGATGTTGGAAGACCATGTCTGACCCCTAGGACCTCGATGGCTGCCAGGGACCCAAGGCTTCCTAGGGAGAAGGTGCTGATGTTAACAAGTGCAGTGACTTGATGTTAAGTCAGGAAATGTGCTGGCATCTGGAAAAGCCACAAAGTGAGGTGAAATGTTATTTCCAAATGTCCCACGTGCGATCTTTCAAAATCACACACAGGTTAAAAAAAATCCATTAAAAGAATGGATTTTTATGTGACAGAACAGACTTATCTCTATGACTTCCAATTCCACCTTGCAACTAACCTTTAAAATCCTCTGCTTGCTGATGTTCGTGTTAGTATCAAACTCTACAATCATCTAAAACAGCTTTCACAATCCCCCCGTTTCCCAGCTACACGTCTGTGTGGAAACATATTTTCTCTATGTACTTCAAATAAAATAACAGTTGTGACAGATTGAATATCAAAGTGGTTCTGAGAATCCACCTGTCCTCACACAGGCTGTGAGTCCAGGAGGGTTACCAAAGGTGAAGCAATGTGAACTCTCACTGTGGGAGGGATCCAGAAAGTCATTTTCTTAAGGATATTATTTATCCCTTCTCCCTTACTATGAAACTAGATGGAGGAATTCGGGAACTAGAAGAGCTTAGCCAGTGTGGTGGGGGTCAGGGGAAGTGGGGGGTAAGGGGGCAAGTGAGAGTGTTAATCAAAATGAAGTGGGTACAAAAAGCTAAATGGAAACCTATCTTGTAATTTTTTAAAATATGATTTTTTGATTTATTTTTATTTTGTGGGTATGAGTGTCTTGCCTGTATGTATGTAAGTGTACCCGTGTTGTGTAATGTCTGCAGAGGACAGAAGAGGCCATCAGATTCCCTGGAACTGGAGTTATGGATAGTCGTTATGTGGGTGCTGGGTCCTCTGCAAGAGCAGTCAGCACTCTTGACCGCTGAGCCATCTATCCAGTCCAAAATATTTGTTTTTTGTTTTTTTCCAAAATATTTTTAAAAAGAATTTGAAGGGAGATACTCTGGAAGCTAGAAAAGTTGCTCCCAGAAGCCATGGGTTATTAAACAACAGCCCTAGCACCAGGCATGGGAAACCTCCCCAAGAATTGCCAGGGAGACCTGCAGGGTAATACAGGAAATGCCCAAGGGCTCTTGGTTGCCTGCCAGAACTAGGTGGTAAGAGCCTATTGCTGAGGACACCGCACACCATGAAGGCATGATGTGGAGACATCATGACTGAGCTGGACGCTTCCTCCCTGATGGCCTCCATAGTCCTGGGAGGTGCTGTACAGGGTGCTGGGGCAGAAAAGGCTTCAATGATCTGACCCACTGGAATCCTATGATCTGGAAGACCCACCTGCCAGGCACGATGTGCCCACTGGTGTGACATTGGGCAGTGCTGTTATGGGGGTAACCAACTACTTTCTGATTGGATTTGAGGCCCACTCCACAGGAAGAATCCATGCCTGGTACTGTAACCCTGGTCGAAAACCCATAGTGGGAGGAGTGTAAGCTGAGGAGGGAACTGTATACTGGTGTTTGGCTAGGTTGACATAGTGTCTAACTATCGTCTAAATATCTATGCTTATACCCATAGATAAAGGCTCCTCTCAGCCTCGATCAGAAAAGCCTCACTTTTGGGCCTGGGTATGATGAAGATGTATTGTATGAAATGCACAGTCCGATAAAGAGGGTGTACTGAAAGAAGAAAAGCCGCCCTTTGAAGTGGACACCAGTGAATGCAGTGACTCCTGGCTGGATAGGGGCTAAGGATAACAGGTGCTCAGCCTTGAACTAGATGTTCACACCACCCTCTGTGTTCTAGTTGGCCTTCAACTGCTGTGAGAAAAACATTGACCAAACAACTTGGGGAGGAGAGGGTTTATTTGGCTTACGCAGTCCATCATCAAGGGAAGCCAAGCAGGAACTCAGGGAAGGTGTTACGGAGTTTGAAACCACTGGGAAAAAGACTACCAGACTCAATTCAAAAAAATTTTTTTTTGGTCTTTTTGAGACAAGGTCTCCCTGTAACCCCAGCTGGCCTGGAATTCACGATGTGGACCAGGCTGGCCTTGAACTCACAGAGATCCACCTGCCTCTGCCTCCCGAGCGCTGGGATTAAAGGCATGTGCCACCACACCTGGCTCAATTCAAATTTTAATTGGTCAAATTTATTAGGGCTGTAGTCGTCCGTGGTCCCTTTGTCTGATTTAGGACCTACGACCCTGAGGGGATGGTGAAACTAACTTATAAAGGCAAAAACCACAAATACCATAGGAATTTCATCATACAAGAATAATGCCAGGTGATCCTGAATATGGTCAGGATGCCCAAGTTACCAGATAAGCAAATGACGAAGCCAGAACAAGCTTTTGTTAGTCCTTCTCGTAACGAGGTATAGGGACCTTGACAGTGAGGCACTTTCTGATTATGTGCAGCTACTGTGTCTGGGAAACCCAAGGTCAGCTACGCCAAAGAAAGCACTCTTCTAAGGGGAAGCAACTAAGTTCAGGTGCTTAACTTTGAAGCTGGCTGTTTTTCTAGCTTTTGAAGTTTAAAGTGGACTCTGTACAAAATGAAGTTACTTTGACCATTACAATTTGGGGGACTCCATTTGGGGCCATTACACAGGAACCTGGAGCACAGACCATGGAGGAACTTTGCTTACTGACTTGCTCCTCTGGTCTGTGCTCAGCCTGCTTTCTAATACAATAGAGGACAACCTGTCCAGGGGTGACACGGCCTACAGTGCCCACAGTAACTGACAAGCAAATGCCCATCTGCTCTCTTTCACTGTAGATCTGCATAATATTCACCATTAATATCCACACCACCGTTTCTACATTAGGCCGTCTTGAAATTTCTTCTGCCAAAGTTGCTTTTCAACTTAGCCTCAGGCAAGCTTTTTGGCCGAGGGCAGACTCCAGCCAGACTCTGCCAAAATAGCCCAAGTGCTGCGTAAGTCCTTATTTCCCTCTGGAACTACATTGTTCTCAGCACTGCTTTCTTCCAGGTGTTTACTGGAATCACCTGTTAAGCTCCGCTTACAGCAATCAACTACTTTTCTAGTCCAAGCTTCCAAACTCTTCCACATTCTTCCAAAACCCCACATGGTCAGGTTCTTCACAGCCAACAGCCCACCCCTGGTACCAATCACTGTATTAGTCACTGTCCTGTTGCTGGGATAGAAACACTGACCAAACCAAGTTATAGAAGGAAGAGTTTATTTGAGCTTACGGTTCCAGGGGAATTCCAGTCCGTCCTGGCAGGGAGCCATGGTGGCTAGAGGTGGCTGGACCAGGAGCAGCAGAAGCTAAGCTCTCACATCATCAGGCAGGCACAGGAGGCAGGAGAGCTACTGAAGATCTGGGAAGGCTTAAGAACTCTCTAAGCCCACCCCCAGTGATGTGCTTCCTCTAGGACAGCCACACCTTCTAAAACCTCCCAAAACAGCGCCACCATGTGGGGACAAAATGTCCAAACACTTGGAGCCTATGGGGGACATTTTCATTCAAACCACCGCACCAAGCTTTGTTTTTAAGGATGTAAATAGCCACAAAGACGACACACTTGTGTTGGTTAAGTTTTGTCATCTTGACACAAACTAGAGTCACCTAGGAAGAGGGACCCTCCCCTGAGGAATTTCCTCCGTTGCATAGGCCTGTGGGCATGTCTGTGGGGCCCTTTTTCTTATTGATTGATATAGGAGGATCCAGCCCACTGTGGGCAGAGCCATCACTAGAGGGACAAACAGAATGGAATAGAAATTGGTACAAGAGAGTGGGATCTTGCTATGATGCTGATAAACACCGACCAAAAGTAACTTGGGGAAGAGAGGGTTTATTTCATCTTACAAGTGACAGTCCATCATCAAGGGACGCTAAGACAGGAGCTCAAGGCAGGAACCTGGAGGCAAGAGCTGAAGCAGAGACCACGGAAGGACACTGGTCTCTGGCTTCTTTCCCGTGGCTTGCTCAGCTTTCTTACACAGCCCAGGAGGCTCCCTGAAGGCCCCACACTGGTTGCTATGAGCGTGGTCCCCAACTGACCTCATGCTGGGGTGAGGAATCAGATGGATTCACAATAGAAAATCTTGTTTGCAGCTCAGCTCTTCTGAATCTGTGACCGTGGAGATTTCCTTCGCCCTCTATATGCTTTGTAAGGGGGGTTGGGGGCCAGTCTCCGGTGTCCCTCCTGCCCGTAACAAGCTCTGCAGTTGCCAATGTGTTATTTTTCTTGCTATGAAAAAATACATGACACGGGGCTGGAGAGACAGCTCGGTGGTTAAGACCACTGGCTGCTCTTGAAGAGGACCCAGATTTGATTCCCAGCACCCACATGGCTGCTAATAACCATCTGTAGCTGTAGTTCCAAGGGAGCCCACACTCTCTTCTGACTTCTGAGGGCATTGTATGACGGGTGCACTTGCACATATGCAGGTAGTACACACACACAAAAATTAAAAGTAATAAATAAAATGTTTTAAAGACATGACATGTTCCTTAAGGGAGGAAGGGTCTATTTTGGCTCATCACAGAGGGTAAGGCGTGGCAGCTAGGGCTCAGCTCATGTGGAGGGAGCTTGCAGAGCAGCTTGTTATATCTTCCTTGACCAAGAAGCAGAGAATTCAGGCCAGAAGTGGGGCTGGCTGTAACCCTCAAGGCCCATCCCCCAGTAGCCCACTCCCCTCAGCTGGGCCCCACCTCTTAATGGTTGTACAACCTCCTGAAATAGCCCTACTGGCTGAGGGTCAAGTCGAACATATGAGCCTGTGGAGCACATTCCATATTCAGACCTTGCCAGATGGCCAGTGGAGACTCGTTTCCAGAGTGGCCAGTGAGTTTCCACGTAAATAGCCACGCTGCCTTGACAAAATGTTCTCATAGCCAAGGCTGTGGGAGCCACTGTGCCCAAGTGCCAGCTTCTCTGCGTGTGTCTCTCTCTCGTGTGCATGTGTGTGTGTGTTTTGTGTGTGTTTTGTGTGTGTTATGATTATTGTTTACGAATGTCCCTTCCCAGGGTGGTTCCAGGCACAGCACTTGTGCGGTCGGGGTCGACAATTAGCACAGGCCCTTGAAGCGCTGAAGTGGAACCCTCCATGACCAGGTACTCAGCACACTGACTCTGCAGAGGCCTCCGCGGTCTTCCCCAGAGTGACAGGCTGATGCTGTCCTCTGAGCTCCGTCCTGGGTGTTTTTCTGGCCTGGTGTCCTCTCAGATGGTAAGTCATTCTTCCTGGTTCAGAACCAAGGTCAGAGGTCACTGAGGCCTCTTCCTGTAACCGGTTCCCAGGTGCCAAGAGTGCACTGTGTTCTTTGGGGGCCTCTCCTGCCCTTCCTCAGCCTCCATCTGTCAGAAGTCGGGTGGGGACTGAGGCTGGGCCCTGGGGTGTGGTGGGTCTTTTCATCACTGTCTGTGGGCCCGTTGCAGCGCATTCTGTCACATCCTTCTGTCTCTCCTACTGTTTAGAGGCTGCAGTGCTGCTTCTTGGGGTGCAGCTCAGATGGATCCCTGAGGCCTCAGGGTGGGGAAATGAGCTTTGAAACTGGAGAGGTGCGTCCTGTGTGTTTTCTGATGACTGCCCTGGGAGAGTCCAGATGAGACAGGAGCTCTCGGAGAACAGCCTCCTTTCAGCCTATGTGATGTCATTGGTTACCATACCAACACCATCATCTGTGCTCCCCTGTGTTTTCCTTTGGAAGTCTGAGCTCCCGGGAGCCTTTGTCTTGAGGAAGTCTGGGTTTGAGAGGTGAATGTTGTGGGTTGATTCAGGGGCCTCTCCCAGGAATTGAGTTCCTCATCAGGAAGTATGTTGGAAAATGAGACCCTCAGAATAGAGTCTCTGCCACAGTGGCATCTGGGTACCAGAGTCTCATTGGGGTCCCAGCATCTGAGCATGCCTAGAGGAAGCTTTATGTCTGTGTCCTGTGTCTGAAGAGCTAGCTGCTGGTCAGGGCAGGGTGGCCTCCGCCCTGCTGTTCTGAAATATCCTTGTTAAACTATAGTGGGGTTATGGGGTGAGCTGGGGTAAAAAGAGTCAGGCTGTCTCTTTTGAAAGCTTTATAACATGACTTAGAAATGCTGCAATTAAAGACTGGGAGGGACTCTTAGAGACTGAGCTCTCTGTGTCTAAAAAGGTGGATTGCTTTAGTTTCTGAGCCCAGATGATGGCCTCCTACCTTTGAAACCTATGCTTATTGTATGAAATATACTGTGGGCCTCTAGAGACTCAGCCAGATTCCTGGGAACTCAGGTGCGAGGGAACCTATGTGCATGAACTATGCAGTTTGGGGACAGTTCCTGGGAGCCACACACATGGCTTGCCCACCTCCTCTTCACCTGCCAGCTTCACCCCTGGATGTGAGGCCCCCATCTGTATTTCCATGTCTGGGGCGGGCAGTCAAGAGGTGAATTTGATAACAGCAAAGATAAGAGTTTCAGCCAAGGAACTGATTGTTCTTCAGGACAGCTCAGCCCAGGAGGTAGTTTTTCTGGTGTGTTTGTGGGGAAAGCGGGATGGGGGGATGATCCAGGGGGAGAAGAGGCCAGAGTCTTGCTGTTCTGTTATTTACTAGCAGAGGTCATGGGTCCTGACCCAGCCCTTGGGTCCAGTGGGATTGGTGCTTTACCTAATGGGGGCATTCTTGGGATGAAGTCCCAAGATGACTCGTCCCGCCTCCTCATCATCAGCCTCACCCATCCCCTCAGAGGCTTGTTCATAATTCTGCTCCGTGTTTATAAGACTAATCCCTCTCCCCCTCCACTTAAAGGTTGATACTCTCATCAGGGGGCAGGCTTCTTATATGCTATCTGGGCTGAATGGGTGTGATGTTCAGGTCTCAGGAAAGCAGACTGACCAGGTGCTGATAGGGCATCATGGAAATTTCCAGGGCATGAGAGAGGCTGGCAGCCAAGCATGGGATCATGGGTCTCCTCAGTGTCCCTCCTCTTCCTATCTTTTGATCCCTGTTTCCCTCCCTAGTAAAGCCTGGTCCCGATGTTACACACCTCGCTTGGCCCTGAGCCATTGGCACAGACAGGGATTACTCTTGGTCATCCTAAGGGAATCAAGGAAGAAGAGTCCATTTCTAAGGCTGGGCTGAGGGTGCTTAGCCTGCAGAGCTCAAGGTGGCGTCTGTTAGCTCTCTGAGCCCTCTTCAGATGAATTCTGGGCCCCCTTTTCCCCCTTTGTTGTCTTCAGACCAGCTAATGAGCAGCTCCTGTGGCCCATCGCTCCCTGAATGTGGCCTTCAGGCCTCCCTGCGATGGACTGGAGGAGCCTCATGAATTAGGGAATGGTGACCCAGGGCTCTGAGTCTTTTACTGTGGCTGAGCAAGGCCTCGGAGAGGCTGAAGGGGCATTAATCCTCATTTCTTGTTGGGGAAACAGTGAGGAGGAAAGGTCTGCTTGCAGTTTAATGTAACTAAATGTCATTCCACGCCCCTGTATTGTCGCTCGATTGAAAGCAACGGGGATCGGCTTGCAGGGGGACGGAAGTCATTGCATAACCTGATTCATAACCCTTGGTTCCTATTTATCATAAAATCATTTACAGCTCCATAAAATGTGTTAATTTGGCGGCTGGTGATGTATGTCTTTGATTTAGTAGCTGACACTTGTGCCCAGTGGCTGCTCAGCGTGGGCTCTGCAACCCTGTGTGGGGATGGAGAAGCAATCACGTGTAGGGGCTGTGTGCTGAGCTTGTTTACAGCGACATGTTTGGGCTGGCTTTGCACTCCTCTGGGAAGTCTGGAGCCAGGGGAAGATACAAGGCTGGGACATTTAGTACAGAGTAGGGGATGGGTTAGATGGGAGTTCAGTGTAAGGCTGTGTCCAGAATTCTGCAATTTATTGAAAGTTCTGTTTTCCCTCAGTTACTGGGGCTAGAACCTTGGGCCCTGTACCTGTTAGGCAAGCGCCTTACAACTGAGCTACAACCCCAGATGTATTAGAAATTCTTTTCTAAAAATATTTTATTTATTATTTTTATTTTATGTATATATCAGTGTGTTACCTGCATATGTGCAAGTGTACATCTGTGTTGTACAGTGCCCATGGAGGTCAGAAGAGGGCTTTGGATTCCCTGGAACTGGAGTTAGATGGTTGTTAGCCGCCATCTGGGTGTTAGGAATTGAACCCTGGTCCTCTGTAAGAACAGCCACTGCTCTTAATGGCTGAGCCATCATTCCAGTCCCATATTGGAAATTCTTAATGTCATCTCCTTCAAGGGGTGCCAGCTACTTCATGGGGATGTTATTGGAGTGAGTTACTTTCTGAGCATCTTCTATGTGGCAGGGCTGTGCTGTACTTTGGCGAGGACACCATTGCAGAACAGGTGAGGATCCTGTCTGAAGAATCCCCCAGGCTCTGGATTGGGTCTTCTCATTGCTGCGTGTATCAAAGGTAGACTGAAGAGACACAGAGGGATCCCTTAGCAGTGCTCTTCGGTGATCAGCCCTAAAATGGGGAAGGCAAAACTCAGACAGCCACAGATGGGCGCTCATTCACAGAGGCCAGGATAGATGTGGAAGTAGGTGTGACTTTTTTCTTTCTTTCATTGGTCTTTTTGAGACAGGGTCTCCCTGTAGCTTCAGCTGGCCTGAAACTCCCTGTGTAGACCAGGCTGGCCTGGAACTCACAGAGATCCACCCGCCTCTGCCTCCTGAGTGCTGGGACTGAAGGCGTATGCCACCACACCTGACTAGGTATGGCTTTTGAACCGAAAACAAAGAGAGCTTGTTCATCCAGCTGTGGCCATGTCGTCCATCGCAGGAAAGCACGTCCATACGTGTGTTTCCTCTTTCTCTGGCTCCGCTCTCTCCCCCTCCACACTTGGCTCTTCTTCCTTTCCACACTTCTTTTTAATAACTTGAAAGGTAAAAAGCCCACATTCTCCCAGACGTCCTCTCTCCCTCCACCCTCCACCCCCAGTTTATTAAAAACACTAAATACACAGCAAATCATTTTTATGAGCAATTAAGCTCCCCTCCAGTGTGCATGAGGGGCGTTCAGCTGACTTGAGGATGAACACCCGGGCCGGGGGCTAAGTGGGCTCCCTGGGTCTGCCTCGCCCCCCACTCCAGCCTGGCTGTGGCCCCTGATCTTCTTGGTGGATGAAGTGTTTCCATTTGTCAGTCTCAAGAGGAATAATGGTTTATAGTCTGAGCACTGAGAATTTTTATTTGCCAATATTTTCTCTTCTCTATAAGAACTGTCGGTTCATAACTTTTGTTATTGCAGAATATTATTTACAGATCTCAGCGTAAGGGAAACCAGCCGGGGGAATATTTGTTCACACTGCCCCCTGCCTCCTCCCCCCTCCCCAAGCCTCTAAATAAGCTCTCTGTTGATTCTGAAGGGTAGCATCCATCAGCCTCTGCTGCGAGAGCACATGGAGGAGCCTATTTTGTTCCTGTTTTCAGAACATCTAGCCTTCATTTGCCTCCCTGAAGATAAAGTGCGCTCATCTTGTGCCCAAAGGATCCACTCAAAGTCACCAAGAGGATCGCTTCTGGCCAGGTGATACTTGAGCCTGACTCTGTTTGCCCCATGGGTCTGCGGCTCTGCCGGGAGGTGGTGAACCATCCTGTTAGTGTTCGTTTAACAAGCTCCTCCTTTGGAAAGTGGTGCCCATTGAGGGAACACAGGCCATCCTTTGAGACCCAGATGTCAAAGCTGGTATCCTGAAATATATTCATACACATAGCCTGTGAGTCAGTGGCACAGTGGGACGTACCAACAGTTCTCTGTCCTTGATGTTTCCTCCTGGAGTCGGTGTGGGGGGCACCTCTCCTTGAGCTGTAGACACTTAAGGGCTGCCCTGGGAGAGAGAGACATTTTCTTCAGTGGTGTAGACATGGATAAGTTGCTCCTGCTCACAGTAGTGAAACCCGTAGTGAAACTCGTAGTGACTTAGTGAAACCGTAGTAAATACCTGTAGTGAAACTCACTGGGTCACAAAAAAAAAAAAAGGAAGAGGGACTAGTTTGAAAGAGGAAGGGGTCAGTGGGAGGGAGAGGGGGACAGAAGAGCAGGATGGGGAGGATGGCTACGATGGAAATACATTATAGACATGTATGAAAATGCCATAATGAAACCCATTATTATGTGTAATGGAGGACTGGGACTTCTTCCTGAGGTTTGAGCTCTGTGGTCACGTGTACCACGTGACATGTAGCTTGTGGAGCTCAATCAGCAACAGGAAACTACAGCTCTGGAAACTGCCAGTCAATGTCTCCTTCTTTGCCCAGGTTGTACCTGTAGAGGTGCCCATAGACCCAGCGGCAGGGGTCACCTTGACTCTTCATCCTCAGTGTGGAGAAGGGGGTCCAGAGGAGGGGGACTGCTCAGAGCCTGTGAGTTCTGACCACATGGGGAGTCTGATTGTCCCAAGAAAAGGGACTCCCAGGCCAGCAGCCATGGTGGATGGTGCCTGCTTGGCCTGGCCGGTCGGTTCCTTTCTTGAAGTATCTTTCAGAAACAGAATGGGGGCACATTGCACAGAAATGCTGCTGGTGGTCACACATGAGTCTCCATCTGGATAGCACTGAGGGTCACTTGTGGACCAGCCGAGGCTCAGCATCCATCTACAGGCCACCCAGTGAAGGACCAAGGTGAGCACCCAGGCTCCTCCTCCTAGAAGTAAAGATGCCAGAGACACATTCCCTGGGGCTCACACTTATCATAGTAGGTAGAGACCGGACACTGCTGGATTTGAGGACTTATTACTAGCCTTTGCAAGCACATGTATGTGTAGTAGGGTGGGAGTGTGTGCTATGCCAACACAATGCTGTTAGTCGTGACCAGTACAGGTGTCTGGGGAGTTGCTGTGTGACCCTTACTTTGTAGGTCCCACTGTGGTCAGAGTTGGAGGCTTTATTTCTGCCTGACTCCCTGCATCGTTGTCACAGCTTGGTTTGGGGATCTGTTTGCCAATGTGCGTGTGTGTGTGTGTGTGTGTGTGTGTGTGCGTGTGTGTGTGTGTGTGTGTGCACTTGTGTGCCTATGTATGTGTGTATGTACAGTATGTGTCTGTGTCTATGTGTCTGTGTGTCTATGTGTGTAGTCACATATATCTTTATGTGTGTGTTTGTGTGTATGTGTGTATGTGTGTGAATATGTGTGTCTTTTTATGTGTCTGTGCATACATGTGTCTGTGTGTCTGTGTATGTATGTGTGTCTCTGTGTGTGCATGTGTGTCTGTATGTGTGTGCTCATGTGTGTGTCTGTGTGTTTGTATGTGTGTATTTGTGTCTCGTCTGTGTGTGTCTGTGTATGTCTGTGCATGTGTGTATGTGACAAACACCCAACAGAAACAACTTAAAGGAGGGAAGACTTATTTTGGCTTCAGGTTTCAGAGGTTTTGGCTGGGGTGGTGGGAACACACAATGGAGCAGAGCTGCTCACCTCACAGGGACCAGGAAGCAGAGAGAGACACAGGGAGAGCTTGGGGACCAGGTCTGCTCCCAGGTCATGTTCCCTGTGACTTCCTTCTTCCAATCAGGTTCCATTGCCACCTCACAACAACGTCATTAAATTACAAATCCGTCAGGGGATTAAGTCACCAGCGAAGGCAGAGTCTGTCCTAAGGTTCCAGGCTTCTCATCAAAGCCCCAGATCTCAATGCTGCTGCTGGAGCATCCAAACAGTCAGCACATGAGCTTTGAAGAGACACGTCATATCCGAACCAGGACAGAGTCACAGGCAGCAAACACCGTGGTCCTCAGTGTATCTGCCTCTGGTTTCTTCGGAGGATTGGGTTACAGAGTGAGCAGTGGCCTTGAGTCAGAGGGGAAGCATGGTGCATGCGGACTCCACTGAGGGTGTGGGGACCCCAAGGGTTGGGGGCAGAAGCTAAGGGGACCCCATGCTCCCCAGCTGAGATACTGCTTCTGTGTTTTGGAAGGTCTTTGCTGACAACTGTCCTTTCTCTCTCTCTCTCCCCCGCCCCCCGCTTTCTCCATAGATTCATCCTGTGTTTGCCAGGTCTCATCTCTGTCACATGTTAAGCCACCCCTCCTTTGCGCTCCCACCTCATACTGCCAGAGCCTTTTGTGCTCCAAGTGTGCCCCTTTCCAGCAGCTCTTCTCAGAGGCTGGTCCCCTGGCCTTGCCTTCCCCTGGCTCAGCCATTCTAGGGGTGATGAGGTAGTTGAGTCCCAGGACTATGTTTATATTTCTGAAGTCCAAGCCACACAAGTAGTGAACAGCTGGCCGTCAAGAGGCTGAAGGGTCTCAAGCAGCCCAGCTGCTCCTCACCCATCACGTCCTCCTGGAGAACTGGGAGGCAGAGCTACCGGAAACTGGTTGTTAACCCTGAGTCTTCCCTCTGAGCATGGTGCTCTTTGAAGTTTCTGGACTCAGAGATGGTCTGTGGGGCTGATTCTCTGGGGAATGGGGATGGAGGTGGGAGCTCTGATTGGAAAGAACAAGGAGAGATATGACGTAAACTGTGAATGGTCTGGGAGAGACAGCACAGGTGTTGGTTCTGTGATAATTCAATCCAGAGCAGCCAGTCCAGCCCAGCTTGGTGATGGTCGGTCTTTGCCTGTCCTGGAGAGGGAAGGATGAAGGAGTGGAGGGAGGGATGAAGGAGTGGAGGAAGGGAGGGAGGGAAAGGGGGAGGGGGAGGGAGGGGGAGGGGGAGAGAGAGAGAGAACTAGAGCACCATGGCAGGTGTAAGTGGCGTGGCACCAATCATCAGCACACACGGAAGGTTCAGGATGAAAGCTAGACACTGCCCTCTTCTCTCTGCTGGAGACAGTGTCTGGGAAGGAGCTACTTTACCCACTCCTGCCTCCTAATCCTCCATGGCAGGAGCTGGGGAAGGACTGCAGTTCTTGCCCTGTCACCCTGTTCATGTGTTCTCCATGTGTCCCTTGGGAGCCCACGGTGCAGGGACTTAGGGAGCCCACCTGGCGCCTCCCCTATACTGGAGGATTCTTCCATGGTCTTCTCACCCCACCGCTTCGTCGCTCTGCAGAGGGGCGTTGACGGGCAGGCTCTTCTGCTGCGGGAACCAGCCCATATGTTTAGTACGCAGGAGAACAGCTTCCCAGCAGGATAGCAGGAACCCAGTATTCAGAGGGTTGCTGTGGAACTGCTGCTGTCTTTGGGTGGGTAGAGGTTCAGATGGTGGTGAGCTGACGCCCGGACGGGATGCTCCAGGTGAGCCTGACAGGCTGTCAGACGGGGATGAGAGGCAGCTCACTGGAAGTGGGGTATCCTATGGTATCAGTTGGAGAATGGATTTAGCTTTCTCTGGCTGGTCCTGACATACGTGGGGAGCTGTCAGCGATGAATCAAGACCTAGACTGTGTGGGATCGTTGCCGTAGAGCTTCTTGTCTGCCTCCCTCCTCAATCATGCCTGGAGATGATAGTCTGATTTCCTAGGAGTCTGACTGCAGCAGGCTGCCTCCCTGGCTGATGGCTGTGGGTAGGAGTGTCCTCTGGGTTGGTGACCATGGATAGAGGTGTCCTCTGGGCTGATAACAGTAGCTAAAGTATGGCTTCGTGAACTGCTTGCTATGGTGGTGCTTCAAGTTTGACCTTGGTCACTGTCTGTGTATTCGGCCCTTTTGGTCCGAGTCCCATCGTCCCTCTGTAGACACTGATAATGAAGGCAAAAGGTCCCACCGCTGCAGCTCTGACTGCCACTGCGGAACTCCCAGGTGTCCATAACTGAGAGTGAGGGCTCAGGCTTCCAACACAGGGCTTACGTTTGTATCGAACACGGGACTGACATGTCACATTGTCCTGTGAAGTTCACCTTGTCTTACAAAACTCACCATGTACACTGAGAATGGGACGCATCCTCCTACTGACACCCCAGACTCGAACCAGATGAAGCAGGCAGACCTCCAAGATGTTGACTATGTAGGACATTCCCAGAAGCTGGGGCCTGGGGAGGGCAAGAACTCTGGTCCCACATACAGTCCAGAGACTACAGGGTTTAATGTTATCTTCACCCTGATAAACCTGTGGGTGTATTTGGGTGGAAATGTTAGTGTTATACAGTCACAGGGAGGGGCGAGCCTGAGGCTGAGTCTGCACGGTGCATGTCACCCATCCTCTCCTCTTCTCTGTCCCTGCCTCTCTGCTTCATGCTCATGGGATAGCTTTAGCCAAAGTTTCTCCCAGCCTATTCCACTCCCTGTTCCCCTCCACCCTGGTACCACGTCGGATCTGGCCCGAGGTCGGTGTGGAGTTGGATTTCTGTAGCCCCAGAGCAGAGCTGTGCTCAGATGCAGATTCCAGGTAGCCCAGACTTTGTTGCTGCCCCAAGAATGTTTCAAACCCCACCTATGGGGCGACACCACCTTTCTGCAGCCTACTCAGAAGCCCAAAATGAATGAGTGAATGAATGAATGAATGAGTGAATGAAGGAAGGAAGGACCACAGGCCAAAGGGAGAAATGAAGGGAGATGGGGTGGCTTGTAGCTCACAAGATACCTCTTCTCTCTGTCCTCCCCCAGGGTACCAGCCCCCCACCCCCTTCTCAGGAGGCCCTCTTAATTCAGATGCGTCCTGTTCTTAAAAACCTGGCCTGGCCAGAATCCATGGTACCCTCCTTCAGTGCTGTGGAAGTCCAGGAGATCATAGTCTGTGGAACAGACAGGTGTCTCTCTTGGGAGAATTCTTTGCTCCTACAGCCTTAGGGGATTTGCTGGTTACCCCAAAGATGACGAGCTCCTTCAATAAAAATTTCCAGCAACCCAACGGGTTCCTTCATTACTCCTCCATGAGGGGCCCAAGGATTGGGAAATATTGACGGGGGGAGTGACATACAGACAAGTCCATCCCAGAGTCGGCAAAGGGGGGCAGAGCCCACACTACCCCATGAGCTGATGAGCTGCCTGCATGTGGATGCTCAGGCGGCTGACTGTCTCTGGTTGGATGGTGCAGTTTTGTTTCCGTGGCCCCTGACCTTTCCAGAGGGTGCAGATGTGAAGGTGGCTGAGGCTTTCCCTTTTAGTGGTGACTCGGGTCTGAGAAGTTTAGGTCCTCAGACCTCCCCTCTCCTTCCCCCATACTTGTGGCTACCCAGAGCTAGTCTCCACACTGAGGACAGATAATCATCAAAACAATGGAGTCAGCAGGGATCCTGTTCATGGGAGGTACTACTTGGAGGTGAGAAGGGCTGGGAACAAAGGAAGGAGACAGACACTTAGGATGACACAGCAGCGTCTCAGAGAGGGAGAGCCAGATGGGTGCAGGACAGCAGCAAGTTCCCCTTTCATTCTCTGGCAGCTTCACCGAGATATAATTCACCTCCCTCCCGTCCACCCATTTAAAGTGCACACTTCACTGGCTTGTGGTACATTTGCAGAGCTGTGTAACTGTCACCACAATCCATTTCAGAACATTCTCATCACCCTCAAAGGAATGACACCATCAGCGGTCACCCTCCATTTCTCCCGGCTTCTCTCGACCCCCAGCTCCACTTATCTAACTGGCCTCTGTGGACTTGCCAGCCTGGACATTCCTTAAGTCTGTTCCAGCAGCTATAATGAAATCTGTAGTTGGGGTCCCTTACATACAGAAGCCCCCCGCCCCCACCGGCCTGGTTCTGCAGGGAGGAGGGCCAGGATCAAGCAGCAGCCCGTGTCTGCCGACGGGTCCTTCTTGCTTGGATTTGCAGGTGGAACCTTTTCACTGTGTCCTGTGGCCAGGCTCCCTCAGGCCTCTTTTTAAAGACGTTTTTAAAGGCAGGAACCTGGAGGCAGGAACTGAGGCAGAGACCACGGAGGACGCTGCTGACTTGCTCCCCGTCTTGCTCAGTTATCTTTCTTAGACAGCCCAGGCCCACCTACCCAGGGATGGCATTGCCCACAGTGGGCCGGACCCTCCTATCAATCAACAGTCAAGAAGATGCTCCACAGACATGCCCACAGCCATTCTGATAGAAGGAATTCCTCAATCGAGGTTCCCTCTTCCCAGGAGAGTCTAGTTTGTATCAAGTTGACAAAGATGAACCAGCACAATTGGTCCCTTGTCAATGTGACACACGAACACATCAATATAAGCCAACCTTTCCTTGTTTACCCCCAAGATCTCATGTTAATATCACAGTATAAAACACAGTTCAGGGCCGGAGAGACGGCTCAGCGGTTAAGAATACTGATGAGATCTCATGTTAATATCACAGTATAAAACACAGTTCAGGGCCGGAGAGACAGCTCAGCGGTTAAGAATACTGATGGTTCTTGCAGAAGACTCAGGTTCAAATCCCAGCACCCACGTGGCAGCTAACTGTCTATAACTCCAGTCCCAGGGGATCCAACAGCCTCTCCTGACATCTGTGGGCATTGCATGACACGGGTGCACCTACCTACATGCAGGCAATACACGCATACACATAAAAAAGATAAACACAGTCCAACTTTAAAAGTCCCACAGTCTTTAAGAATTTCAACACTTTAAAAGTCCAAGTACTCTTTAAAAATTCAACATCTCTTAACTGTGAGCTCCTGTAAAATAAAAACAAATGAAATATTTTATTTCAAAAGAGATGAACCAGGAACACTTAAGCAAAACCAAAGTCCAGCAGTGTAGTTCAGTGTCCAGCATCTGGCACTCACGATCTTCTGGGCTCCAGAAGGCGTGGAAAGTGCCACTTCTCTGGCTTTGCCGGCCACAGCACACACAACTTGTCTTGTAAGCTTAGGCTGGGTCCACTCCTCACTTGGTGCTGTGTTTGGTGGTCATCCCATGATCCTGGCATCTTCAGTGTGTTGGGGTCTCCACTGCAACTGAGGCTGTACCTTCACCAATGGCCTCTCCTGCCCTCACATGGTGCTAAGCTTCTACTTCTCTCCATGGCCCTTTCAATTCTGAAGCTTTCATGTCACCCAAACCAGCACCAGGTGGGAATTTCCTACACATTACTGAGTTAAACTTCCAGCTTGAGATTGATCCTCTGGACCACAGCTTGTAGTGCTAACCCTGAGAAAATATTTCCCAGAAGATTTAGCCTCAGTGTGATGCTGGTCTCCTATTAACCACAGCTACATTTTTAGCTCCACATGTTCAGAAGGGGAGCTAGGCCAGAGCAGAGTGAGCCACGAGAAACAAGCCAGCAGGCGGCATCCTCATGGTTCCTGCCTCGAGTTCCCACCCTGGCTTGCCTCAGTGATGGACTGTGACCTGGAAGATGAGACAAACCCCGTCCTCCCCAAGTTGGTTTCGGTCAGTGTTTTATCACAGCAACAGAGAGCAAAGTAGAACAGGGTCATCGAAGACCTAGTGTGAGCACTCAGAAATTCTGAGTGGACCACTTATCTTACAAACCCCCTGCTGCCCACAGGTTACTGAGCAAACAAGCCTTATCCATCTCCCACTCTTCACTGGATCCGAGATGCATGGATGCCGTTTTCACAGTTCACGGTTCAGGGACATTTACATCCAATTCCTTTTAGAGAACAGAAAGGCAATCGTTAGATAATGAGC